CAACTGGTTCCCCAGTTTATTCCCAACCACGTAGGCTTCATCCCGCCAAATTGAAAATCGCAAGAGATGAGTTCGACAATATGCTCAGACTGGGAATAATACGCCCTTCAAAAAGCCCTATGCCAGCCAGCCCTCTACACATGGTTACAAAAGCAGATTCAGTCAGTTGGCGTCCATGCGGAGATTATAGGTTGTTGAACGCCCAGACCATTCCGGACAAATATCCTATCCCGCACATAAAAGATTTTGCGCTATCATTAGAAGGTGCTACAGTCTTCACTAAACTAGACCTCAAAAAGGCTTACTATCAGATACCAATCGAGGAAGACGACATACAAAAGACTGCGATCACCACTCCATTCGGACTATTTGAATTCACAAGAATGCCCTTTGGTTTACGAAACGCCGCACAGTCATTCCAAAGATTAATAGACGAGGTGTTACGTGGTATGCCGTACACATACGCGTATATTGACGATGTTTTAATTGCAAGTAAATCACATGTTGAACACAAGGAACATTTGCATGCAGTTCTAAAACGTTTACAACATTATGGTTTAAAATTAAACATTGACAAATGTATATTTGCGGTACCACAGCTAACCTTTCTTGGACATGTAATAGACCAACAAGGATTGTCTCCTTGGATCACAAGATCAAAGCAATAACAAATTATCCCACACCTTCCACAATGAAGCAATTACGGAGATTCTTAGGAATGATAAACTACTACCGACAATTCATACCGAACTGTGCAACTATAATATTGCCATTAACAGACATGCTATCGCAACGAAAGAAAAAGAACTCGCAAATCATACTATCGAAAGACGAATTAAAATCTTTTAACGATGCAAGAGACGCGTTGCAAAATGTACAAAATTGTCGTATATTAATCCATCCGAAAATTCCAAACTAACACTCACGACAGATGCATCGGCTGACACAATTGGAGCAGTACTACACCAGATTACTAACAATGTAGAGAAACCACTATCATTTTTCTCGATAAAGTTAAACACTACCCAGAGGAAATATAGTACGTTCTCAAGAGAATTATTGGCAGTATACCTAGCAATACGACATTTTAGACACATTCTAGAAGGAAGAAATTTCGTAGTCTTCACCGACCATAAACCACTTACATATGCATTACATGCAAAGGCTGACAAATTAAATCCACGAGACCTAAGACATTTAGATTACATCAGCCAGTACACAGCAGATATCCGATACGTAAAAGGTCAGAATAACACAGTAGCGGACGCATTGTCCAGAACTACGCTCAACGCACTACAATCACAACCACTAAACTTTGACACTCTCGCTGAGGAACAAGCAAACGACAACGAATTACCGTCTGTACAAAAAAGATACCTCACTTCAAATTGAAAAAGACCTTTACCCTTTACTAATGAACTCGTGTATTGTGACGTTTCCACAGGTAATCCTCGACCGTACTTACCTTTGTCACGAAGAAAATCAATTTTCGATCATTTCCATTCGCCAGCTCACCCTGGAGCGAAGGCTACGCTGCGGACCATAGCTGACAGATACGTCTGGCCCGGTATGTCTTCGGACGTGAAACAGTGGTCTCGCACGTGCCAACGTTGCCAGGCAACGAAAATACACCGACATACCAAAGCACCATCGTCGACCTTCGCGACACCAGATGGACGATTTACGCACATACACGCAGACTTAGTCGGTCCACTCAAAAAAAATAATGGACACGAGTACATTCTAACGATCATTGACCGCTTTACGCGATGGCCAGTTGCGATACCACTAACATCAATAACGGCAGAAACAGTGGCTAACGCAATTTTCAACAACTGGATTTCTATATTTGGATGCCCTGCAGTTATCACAACTGACAGAGGTCCCCAATTTCAATCAACGCTATTCAACGAATTTGTCAACATTTTAGGCATAAAACACATCTCTACCACCGCATACCACCCATGCAGCAACGGAATAGTGGAGAGATTCCATAGACAGCTCAAGTACGCATTAACAGCGTCTACCAGTGCTCGTACGTGGGTAGATAAGCTACCATTTGTGATGCTTGCGCTGCGAAATACAATAAAACTGGATCTCAAATGCACCAGTGCAGAATTAGTTTTTGGGAAAGCAACAACGCTGCCTGGACAGATATTTCACAACGAGACGACATCTACACCAACGAATTACTTTGTGGCAGACCTAAAAAAGAAGATGATGGACGTTATATATACACCCACGAGAGCGTATAAAAAAACTTTCTACGTGCCAGCAGATCTACATTCAGCAGAATATGTTTTCCTGAGGCGCGACACTGTACGGAAACCATTAACGCCCAACTACACAGGTCCACACCTGGTAATATCTAAAACACCCAAATTCTTCATAATTGATATCGCCGGTAAACAGAACACCGTCAGTATAGACCGTCTCAAACCAGCATATCTGCAATCCGACGACACAGATCGAACAATAACAAAACCGACGACAACAGAACAAACAGAAACGCAAACAACTACTGATACGACCGAATCAACACAGTCTACCCGTACAAAATCAGGAAGGAATGTTCACTGGCCAACCAAGTACCGAACCTACATTACATATTAATGCTCATTCGCCAAGGCATTAATCTGGGGGAGGTATTGTGGACTCTTCTAATTTTCTAACCTTCTCCAACCTTAAAAAAGCATAATCCATATTATACGCCTACGCGCAGATAACGCTCAACCAATAAAAAATGCAAAGAATCGAATCAAGCAATTCTATTGGTAGATCGCCTCCCAAAGCAAGAATTGCGCCAAAATATCTTGAGCCACTTTCGAAAACCCAAAAGGTTATAAAAAAGGAGAAAAGACAACCCCAGTCAGTCAGTCCAGCTCACTTTTTGAGCGACTGCACGGTTCAACTCTCTGTCTCCGGACGGAGAGGAACCCGAAGGAGGCTACGCCGAAGGGCGAAGTCTCCTTCGGGGGGAGGTTAAATGCCCACATTAAAAAAAGGCCTCCCCTGAACCCCGAACCCGTTTATACGGGTTCAAATGGGCCGCATTTTTTGGCTGAGCCAAACTGCACGGTGGCTCCGGGAATGCCCACATTAAAAAAAGGTTCCTTGGCTCGGGAATGCCCACATTAAAAAAAAGGCCTTGTGCCGCATGACACCCTCGTGGGTGGGTGACTGAATATCTCAGTCCAGCTCACTTTTTGAGCGACTGCGGGTTCAACTCTCTGTCTCCGGACGGATGAGGAACCCGAAGAGCGACTGCACGGTTCAAGTCTCTGCTCCGGACGGAGAGGAACCTGAAGGAGGCCGAAGGGCGAAGTCTCCTTCGGGGAGGTTAAACCGGCCCTGAACCCGTTTAACCCCCTGAACCCGTTTATACGGGTTCAAATCTCAGTCTAGCTCACTTTTTGGCGACTGAGCCTAATGGCTCTCCTTCGGGAATGCCCAACCCGTTTATTTCAAAATTTTTGGCTGAGCCTAATGGCCTTGCCCACATGGCCGCATGACACCCTCGTGGGTGGGTGACTGAATATCTCAGTCTAGCGAACTCGCCGATCGATTGCCTAATTAATCCACGACATTCAAAACAGAATTTTACCGCGCAAATTTTTGGGTGAAATGAAGGCCTTGGGAAACTTTAGCCGCATGACACCCCTCGTGGGTGGGTGACTCAATCTCACTCACCTGAAACACTCAACGAACAACTATCGAAACTTTGAACAATATTTCTTATGCACATTGATTTATTCATTACTAAAAATAAGAAATACGAATCACGAAAACAAACACAGACACGTTCAAAGGTAGACTACTTTAGCAAACTTTACCAAAAAACTCTTATTATATATTTCAACACAAACACAAAATAACAAACATAACGACACAGAGACATCCAACATTTCAGCAACATATACAATTAACGCACGCAACAATACAAATATTAACCTTGTTTGTAAATATGTAATTGTATATAAATGTTTTATTTGTTTCGATCTATAAATGTCTCGTTTTTACTTTGTTTGAAATCTCATATTTGTTATATATTTGTTTGGGACAAGGTTTAGACACACAACCGATCCGAACAAAATCCTTCTGATTAATTAAATGAACCAAAAGTCCCAACAATGTGTTGACGGTGACAGTAGCGATTGGTACTGACGTATTATCTCGTCGTAGCCACTGGCTGTAGGTATAACAGTCGTCAGACCGATTGTCGAATACTTGGAAATGAAACCGCAACATTGTATTAGTGCTAGTGTCAGTTAAGGTTTGTGACGCCAACTCAACCGATAATTTGTAATGGGTTAGGAAGTCCGCTCCTAATATCAGCATTGCGACATCCGCGATAGTAAAAATCCACGTAAATTCTCGTCTAAGGCCGATGTCTAGCGTTAGGGTTCGCTCGCCGTACGTGGTGATCGGAGTGCCATTAGCGGCCTGTAATTTGAAAGATGTATGCTTAACCAGAGTCTGTTTGCTGCAATTTTTGAGAGGCAGGACACTTATTTGGGCACCGGTGTCAACTAAAAATTTTAAAACCGCTCGCTCTGTCGTGGATATAAAAGAGATGATTAGTTTTTAAATGTCTGGCATCCAACGTCTCTACTGGGTGCCAGCGGGTCCGTTTCCCGCTTGTTTGTTTGGAAATGACTTTTTTATACGAACATGGTGGTCGGCATTTCTTCGCGCGCGCGCCAAAATTTTCGTGGTACCAGCAATTGGCATGTTGGTAACGATCACGGCGTTGTTGGTATTTATGCCGAGACGTCGATCTTGAACCACGGTTACTGTGTCGCGTAAAATTATCACGCCGACTTTCATGTGGTTTTTGTAAATCACGCAGTTGTAGAGATATTTCTTGCAATTCTGAAGACAATTTTTGAATCTGTTGGTTGACATCTGGCACAAGGCCATCCACGGTCTCCGTTGAGGAAATCTGTCGTATCGGGGTAGTATCGGCTATTTTGTCCGCTATCGTTGCCAATTTTTGTATATCAACGTCGTCTGTTAATGCAGCCAAGTACCATGTCTGATGGTAATTTGTCCAGCCACATTTGGCGGAATACTGTGGCTGATATGTTGTTGTCGCCCAACAGTTGTTGCATGCGTCGTAATAATTGAGACGGTTTCGAATCTCCAATTGAAACGTTTGTTAAGAGGTCTCTTATTTTTCTTTCCTCCGAAAAACCAGATCGGTGTAGTATTGCTTGTTTAAGGGTCTCGTATGGCTTGTCTATTGGTAGAGAGGTTAATATGTCGGCTACTTCAGCCACTACCTTCGCGGGTAGTTTCTCTACCACGGACGCAAATTTTGATTGCAGTGAAGTTATGTGTCTGGCCTGGAATATCGCGTCCAGTTGTAAGAACCACGTCTGAACGTTTGAGTTGAAAGCAGGCATTTCGAGTCTGATTGCCGTTTCTGTGAGAGGAACTGGATCAGCCATTTATGAAGTCGGAGTTTTGTTTCTGGATCTTTGGTCTGCTGGTTCGAAAACAACACGTGTCGATTTAATTTCTTCCCGCGCGTTGGAGTCGTCACTAATTCTGTTTTTGTACGTCGGGATTCCAATTTTGATTTCTTCAACGATTCACACGTCTGAATCGCCAATTTTTTTTGTTCGGGTTTCGCACGTCGGTCGTTACCAATTTTGTTGGTCACCAGTTTTTTTTTTTACATGAACGTCGGGGTAGTAAAATTTGTTGGTCGCACGTCGAGGTTATCATTTTTTCTTATTGGAACGTCGGGGTTATCAATTTTTGTTGGAACGTCGGGGTCGCCAATTTTATTGCTAACGCTGAACATCGAACGTCGGGGTCATCAATTTTGTTGGGGACGTGCAGAATTTATTAATTATGCTTGAAAGAATCAGAAGGAATTTGTGTAGGTTGCGTGACTTTCTGCATCCACAACAAATAAATAAACGAAATTTAAAATACGATTAAGAACGAGACATATTCAATTAGAAATTAATATAACATTTATATACAATTCAAAGCAATATACAAACAGCATAATTGATATATGTTATGTTGGCGAAATGTGTATGAAGTTTTTTTGATTTCAGAATGTCTCTCTTTGTAATTGTTCGTTCATTTACAGTCTTTTAAAGTTTGTGTTGATATTAATAATTGTCGATATTAAAGTGTCTCTTTTAGAAGGCGTTTTTAAGAGTGATCTACCTTTAACTGTAATGTAATGTTTTTTTAAGGTCGTTCGCACGTTGATGTTTACTTAATAGGTAGCGAATATAATTCACTTTAGATAAGCAATGTTGAGCATTGATATCCACAGAGTTGATTAAGTTTTCGATCGGGAATGAGTCAGCGATGATGTATTTTTGCGCAGTGAAATCATGATTTAGAGTGACGTGGAGTATTTTGGCAAGTTCTCTGTGGGTGTTTGTTACTGACTGCCTGGGGCGGTCAGCGTTTATTTTTATAAGGTCTGAAAGTCCGAAGGTGGCTCACTTGAGTTTTGGCGCGATTTCGTTCTGCACGTGAACTTTCAGTGATGAACCAATGAGATTGTTTGTTTCGCTTAGTGCAATTTTAATTGGTTGAAGTTTTCCGTACGCAGGCGTAAGATATAGACTGTTCTGTTGCTAGGGTTGAAAGGTAAGGAAAAAAGGACGAGTCTACACTACCATATCTAGATGTCATGGAAATACCTAAACCTCAAGTCAGTAATACTTTGATATATAGTGAGTTATTGTGAACACTGGTTAGGCTACTCATGGAAAGGTTATATGAATTAGAGTTTGAATGGAGTATGATAGTGGGTGCCAAATGAATGGGACATTCCATTTCTGAAAATGTGGGGACATCTGCCATCCTTCAATCTATGAAAAATTTTTTTTTAATCAGTGTCACCCCAAGCAAGGGGTTACAGGGTGTGGAGGAATTAGGAACAAAAGCATTAGTAATGAGTAGAAAAAGAAAAGAGTATTCAGGAGAACAGTAGATAGTAATTGGCATTGCATTTAAATTCTTGCAGATTAAAATTAGCTGAAAAGCATGGAGCTGGAAGGTAGTTCCATAAGCAAGAGGTGCAAGAAAAGAAACTGTTAGTATAGAAGTTATGGTTACATCTAGTTAGCTCAACTGTAAATTGATGTGATCTCACCACCAGTCTAGTATTGCACTCAAATTCATACAGTCTAGGTACCATAACAAAGGGTTCATCTGAACAGTTACCTTGAAAGTATAAAAAAAGCACAGAGAGGCAACCTTACAGTGGTAGGTAAGAGAGTGAAGTCAAGCCACCAAATCAGGACCAATAATATTGTTGATTCTTCTTTGGATCTTAGTTAAATTGCAGTTAAATTGATGATATATAGCAGCAATATTCTAGGCATAGACAAATGGTAGACTTATAGATATGCAAGATAGATTCAGGAGAGAAGAATTGTCTCACCCAACATAGTGAACTGACTTTCTTAGCAGCTGACCTAGCAATGGATTTGGTATAGTTTTTCTACCTCATGTCAGCTTAGAACGTTAGCCCAAGAAGGTGCAACGAGTCACTTTCTTGAAGGATAGCATCAGCCATACTGATGAAAGGTGGAGTAGGGTCTCTCAGATAGAATAAAGAGAAGTTTAGTTTTGGAGATGTTAAAATTGACAAGCCATCTTTTGCCCCAGTTAACGACAGTCTTGAGGTCATTTTGTACATCAGCCAATTTGACCTTGTTAGACTGATCAGCCTTAGTATTGAGGCAGGAGTAAATGGTAGTGTCATCAGAGTAGATGCCAAGTTGAGAGTTGATGTCATTGGGAAGGTTGTAATGGAGATTAAAAAAGCATACGATCAAGAATTGAGCCCTGGGGGACAACTGCATTAGTATAAAAGTATGTAGATGAGTGGTTGTTCAGGAAAACTTTCATTTTACAATTTGATAGAAACAACTGGATCAGCTCAAAAATGTGCCCAGAGAAACCAAGAAGATCTGAATGCCAGACCATGTCAAAGGCTTTTAAGATGTCCAAAGCTACAGCTCAGGCTTCACCATTTTTATCTAGAGCACGAAAGACTCTTTCTGCAATTATCATTAGTACATCAGTAGTTGACTTGGAAAAACAAAAAACATATAGCTTGTCTGAGAAAAGGCCCTACAATAAGAGATGATGAACCAATTCAGAATTGATTAGGGGCTCTAGGAGTTTCCCATAAAGGGGTGGAAGGCAGATTGATCGGATGGTTCACTAGAGTTTTTAAAAACTGGAACAACAGACAATGACTTCCATCAGGCAGGAAAGCAGGAGGCAGCGAGACATTTATTATACAGTTTAGAGAGAACAAGAGTCTGTTCAGGAGCACACATTTTAATGACTATTACAAGGATATCATTGGGTCTACATGTTTTGTGGGGATCAAGGTTAGAGATGATAGCAGAGACTATGGAAGGGGTTATATGCATATCACTCAGCATAGAATCAGTTTTAAGTGGGAAGTTAGACAGGGATACTTCAAATGAGTCAAGAGTAGAATTTGAGGAGAATTTACAGACAAAGCATTCAGCTTTATCAGTAGAGTATGATAACACCTCAAATCAATTGAAGAGGGAGGAATAGAGACCTTGCACTTATTACAGAGACTATACCCTTACCCTATTACAGAGACACCAGTAATCATGAGAACCAAAGTTTTTAGAGGCTATATGTTGCCTCATTCTCTCAGTAAACAGGGATTTAGCTTCTTTGAGGACTCACTCACTTTTGTTATGAGCAGTAGCAAATAGGCACCTATTATTATGAGAGCTGTCACACTGGTATAGCTGAAAATAGTGGTTCCTGTGTACTATAGCAGGTGAGCATGCTGGTGTGAACCATGGAGATGATTGCAGTTTCATTTGGTATTTCCGAGGGATGAAAGCATCCATACCAGCTTTGACCCAGGATGAAACCGTAAGTGGCGCAATTTTTCAATTGGGAGGTTGAAGATGTCAGTTCAGGGGTGTCACAAAGAAAATCCCAGAATGAGTCCCAATCAGCGTGCTAGTAATGGAAAAAGGTATCATGGATAGAAGGTTCTTGTTTAACAGATGCTTGGAAGGAGATATCAATAGCTACGACAGAGTGGTCCGGGTTACTAAGAAGGCAGTATTGTGAAGCTCAGCAAGAGCAAGGCGGTAAGAAATAGATCCAATGGAGAAGCCTGTTGCTCTGTTTGGCTAGGGAAATGAGTAGGGAAGTCCATGATCTGAGTGAGGGATTGGGCAATGGAAAAATTTAAAGTCTGTATACCAACAGCATCAGTATCTTTGAAATGTTTCAGCCATGTGTTGTGGTGAGCATTAAAGTCACCAAAGACAAAGGTATTTGCAGATGGAGGGAGAGAAAGTGTCTTTTCTATACTGTCAGCTATTGAGTCTAATATACTGCAGTCTTGGGAAGAGGTGGGAGTGATAAAGGAAAAAGAGATAGCTGACAGAGTTTAGTAGCAAAAGAGGGAAGCACATGAAAGAGTAGTCAGTGGTCTTGAAAGACAGTTCTCAGGCCAACAGAAGATTATTCCAGATATAAACACCAAGACCATGCATGAATACTGGAATCTTTTCAACAAAAGGGAAGATACCCTGGAACTAAGAATTCATTGGTAACAGTGGAAGAATTCAAGTTGGTTTCATAAAGGGCAAAGATATCTGGTGACTGTTTCAAAAAGATTCTACACTGCAGAAGTTGGAATGAATACCAAAAATATTGGTGTGTGTACTGGAATACTTACCATAGACAACAGAGTGGCCAACAACAGGTTACTATTAATCATGACCAGACAAATAACACTGGTTCAAATCATATCCATATTTAATATTGGCGGTACCAGTTAACAAGATGGTAGTTCCATAATGGTGTGGCGTGTATTTACATGACATAATTTAGATCCACTGGTCCACCTGAACATGGCATATAGTTTTTTTTAATGCTGTTGATGATACCTTGGATACAAAATCTTAATACAAAAGACTACTATATTGAACTTCTTTGTAATTATTTGAACCTATTCATCAATTCCATATACCCTAACAATGATAAACCATTTTTGTTGGGTTAGAGGAAGTCATACATGATACTATTCAATGACTTTTGGCATGTCAGAGTAAATCATTCATAAAATTTGCCCAAACTAAATTTATTCAAATTTATTTCAAAATTTTGTTTCACCTTTGACATGTAATATCATCAGAATGAATTTGTTAAATTTTTATTTAACAAATTTCTTTCACATTTTAATTTTCTCAGTCTCCATTTTCCAATGTTTCTATCATCTTTAATTCTTGGGATCTTTCTTCATTAATGAAAATGGTGAATGTACAGAACAATAAAATCATTGGAATAAAAAGAAATGTGAAGAAAATAGGTTAAATAAAGTTGAAAATAGATCAAAAATTAATTCTGATATAGCCTGAAAGGAGTCAGTTGAGGCATTGGTTAAATTTAAAAAAGGACCTTACTTGCCAAGATTGATTGGTAGAAGTTCAAATTTCATGAAAGCAAACTGTTGTTTTGCTTTTTTTAATGCTGTTGATGATGTTAATTTAGATTTAGGGATTTAGCTGTTTGGAAAATATGGAAAGCACAATGTTTTGTGCTTTCCATATTTAATCATCCTGTATCCTATGTGGGATTTAAAATAATTTAAACATTTTATTTGATATTAACAAATGTAACATCTGGTATCTGAAATGGAAAGTCTTGTGGCTATCAGAAGAGTTTTAATACACTGTAAGGTTTTATCACCTGATAAAGAGTGAAATACAAATTCTGTTATTCTTTACCTAAAAAATTACCTCTTTAATTACAATCATTCAAAAGAAAACCATTTTTTTCCAAAACTTTTATCTTTCGAACTGTTATCTCAGTTTTTTTTCACTAATATTCACCCAATAGTCACTCAAGGTAGAGGGTCACCATGTGGAGTTATATTAGCATAGGAATGAACAATTTTTAGGAGTATAGAGCTAAGACAGACTTTAAAAGGAACCGGGAACCCAAACAGGAAACAAAGGATAAGCCTCTACTCCTGTTCAAAAGACTGGGAGGTTAAATCTTCTTCGTATTAAAAGAAAGAAATTGTTACCAGCTTAATTCAATGAATGATTTCATTTCAGTTTTATTAAGTAAAACCAATTTGAACTCAGAAACTATTATCATATTATAATTTTGTTTGTTCCTCTGTTATTAAGTTAACATGTGCCCTGCTTCAGACTATTTTGTTTTGATTGCAAGGAAAAAGAAAAGAAAAGGTTATATCAGAGATACTGTTTGGTTTCAATGAGAAAAAGAAGGAATACAAAATAAGAAGAAAGGAAGATACATAAGGTGATAACATTTGCTTCAGTGAAATAGAAAACCTTGTCAATTTAAAATCTTTTCATTTGTATCCTCTTACTTCTTTAAATAATGGCCTGCTTTCCAATTATGATTGTTATTGTAATATTTTGTTAAAATTATTAAGCTCAAATATTTAACAAAGGAACAGATGAATTTCTGTATGTGTTTTATAGCCACAGAACTTGTCAAGAACTTATTCCATCATTAATGTAAAAATTAGGGGTGATCAGAAAATTAAAATAGGAAAACTATTGAATTTTCATGCATACTGCTAGTTAATAATAATAACAACAACATCCTGGGAAGCTATTATATTTTATAACATGCTGATCTTTGTTATCTTGATAGTTCATGGTGGAGAAAAGTTTAAATTAAATTTAAAAAATTCTCTAGAGACTGATCACCAGTATTTCTTGATTACAAATTTTTGGTAGTACACATCTTATATCACAATATGTAAATAGTGAGACTAAAATAAAATTGACAGTTTTCAACACTGGTTTTTATAATGTTAAATACAGTTAACTTCATTTTTTGAGTTTCCTCAAATGTAACTAAAAGTAGATTCAATCTCTTAACAACTGGATGTCTTGGATACAAAATCTGATTTCTTAAATGCTTTAAAACTAACATAAAACAATTTATAACAATTCTTTAATACTTTTTAGCTATTTATAACTTTAAAATTACAAATCTTTGTAAGTTAAAAAAATCAATAATGTTCTTTGTAGTTTGGAAGATGTCTGTTTAAACAAATCTTTATTAAATTGAATGTTGTCAATGCTACAAAACATATTGGCAAGTCTAAAGGATTCATATTATCAACAATGCCTGCACTGTCAGCTTCTCACTAAAATGGCACTGCTGCTAGAAAGAAACTAGAGTACTGGGTGATGAATTATAGAAATTCTTTTTTGTCAGCTGTATATCATTGCTATGTCATCATCATCAGTACAAATAATGGCTGATCCATTTCCTCTTAGTTTTGAGTCATTCAATCTCCAGAAGGCAATTAGCACTAAATGTGCACATACTTGCAACTGCAAAAAAAAAAAAAAAAAAAAAATCCACTTCCACATAGATTTAACCCAGATCTTTTGGTCAATATACAGTAACTGTCATAAAAACCATTATTTTTCCAGTATCTTTGAAAAATAGTTTGTGTTTGTCATTTTCCTGAGAAAATTAATAATCCCTTTTTGACTTATAAAATGAACATTGTACTTGTAAAAAATAGTGGGATTATTTGCATACAGATCAGTATCAGTGCACTCTCTGGCACTCAGCCTAAGATCAAAGTGTTATTCTTTAGCACATCTGCATAGGACTGTGAAGTGTTACATACAAAAAAGAATATTGATACACACCATGTTTTATACGTAGGTATTTATAGAATTTATCCAGACGTAGACAAAGCCATTTTTTTTTTTAATGTATATTATTCTTATTCTGTAATAAACTTCTGAATTAGAATAGGAATTTGTTGCAATTTTACCGTTTTTTTTTTTAAATTAAATATCAATAAAGTTAGCTTACATTGTATAAAACAAGTGTGTATTATCTTAGAGAAAAAAATCCATTTCATCTTTAATGCTCCGGTGTACATGTGGGCTGCATAAATATTCAAGAATATTATCACTCTCCACAACTTCCTCTTTTCTTGCTCTTGTAACCTTTCACTTTAACATCCCTCTGTTCTGTTATGCATTCACACAAGCTAGGTTACTCAGTTTCATGATGCTTCTGTTGCTTTCAATGCTCTGTTAGAGTTAATTCTCTAAGCCTTCTTTCCATAAATAGGAACAGGTTAATTTAAATCATTTTTTCATTAATTTATTAATTTTTTCTTCTGTTGTAGAAAAGAACAGACAGAAACCAATTTCCTAATTAATATTTCTAAAACATTGAACAAGAAAATTTGTCAGCTACATTTTTATGCAACATTATCTTGAATAGCTTAACTTGGGTGGTAATATTTGGTATCGGAGTTGAAATTTTTCCTCAGTTTCATTATTCACCAATAAATATGATGAGTTAACATTGGAAATTGTGAATTATTAGCTTCAAACTACACTCAGCTTAGATTTTAATTCTAGCCTTATAAAATTTAAAATATTTTCAAACAAACAAAAAAAAAAAAAAGTTTCAATAAAATTTGCCATTCTGATAAAAGCAATTGTTTTATTTATTGTGTCAAAGTTCCCTTTGAAGATTCATTAATATAAACTGTCATGCACATATTACTACTAATACTACATAATGGAAAAGAGCTAAAACTTCAAACAGGTGAATGGGATTGAACCAGGCTTATTTTTTCTGGTGTCAGCTTGCCTATATTTTTTTTAACTTTAACCATTTAAGACAAACATTGTCAGACAAATGAATTAAATAAAAAAAATAAAGTAAAACATTTTTAAAATGAAAAGCCTTTAATAACGGAAGACAGTTAAAATTTAAGAAACAAGTTAAAAATTAGATTTTTTGTGCAATTATGGTTTTCTAATCAAGCTGCCTGTAAAACTATCAATGCAATGATGTTTGATTAGTTTGTGTGTAAATTTTAATGTGGGAGAGAGAAAGAAAAAGAGAGAGAGAGAGAGAGAAGAAAGACATTTCAGGTTACAATAATAAAAGTAAAAACAGACTAATTGAAAGTGGATAGTGAGATTTTATTAAATCAAAAATAAGGCAAACATTTTCAACATTATTTGTACTTTTTCAAATAATAAAAAGTGTAAAAACTCATTTAACAAAAAATAAATAAAAAATTCATGACTAGAATTTTTATTGTAGACACTTAGAAAGTGACATTAATACTCAGGTTGTAATTTACTTTTGTTATTGAATATCAAATGTTCCACCTGAAAAGAGTGAAAACAAATGGATTTATTATAACATACACTCAAAAGGGTCTGCTCAATTTGAATGTAAATTTAGGCAGTGCAAATATCCAATAATGAAGTTGTGCTTCAAGAAATTTGAAATTACAAAAATATAAAAGGATATAAAAAAGACTAGCATAACAAAGGAGAAATCTTTACACTTTGGTACTATATGAAAAATGTTCAGTCATTAAGGACCAATTCTTTTATAGGAAGACCAAAACTTTTCTAATACATACAAATTAAAATAGGAACATTTGTGAAATCTTCTTGAGGAAACTTTAAAATTGATTCAGTGACAAGTAAAACTGATTTTATTTTTTTTTTTTTAAAACACTTAAAAAAATTATTTACATTTTCTCCCAGGAACCTTTTTATGCCATTTACACATATATTAAAACTACTTAAAAAGATTTTTCTTTTTGATATGATATTTTGATTTGCCTCTTAAATATGTAGATGTTAAACACAAAAATATGAGTTGTTGAATAATTGTATTTAAAAAAAAAAAAAAAAAAAAAAAAAAAAAAAAAGAGCTATGCACACCTCTCCCCCAAAATCACAAATACTATACTAATGATGGCTAGCAATTTCAGCCTTTAAGTATTTAAATGAATGACCCATCAACAGCATCTGAAGGTGATCAGTATATTTTTTTTTTTTTTTTTTACAGAATGTGTTATTTCAATCTTACTGCAGCCTTGTACTGGCCAATAAAATCCATTGATTTATTTTGCTAAAACAGCAAACATCTTAAATTTTCCTTAAAATCTTAGATATTCACGAGAGATGCGTGCTATTCGTCTACGCTTTTTAGACCTTTTTCGTTGCCTTCTTTTGTTTCTTTTTTTCTTCTTTTTGGTTTTAAATTTTTTCTTTTTGTTCCGTGTGTTATGTGACAATGATGATTGTGCTGATAAATCTTGCATTTCACATGGCCCTTTTGTAGCAACCCGGATTTTTTTATCCGAATTGCAAGCAGCAACCCTCATGTGACACCGAGATTTGTATGTGACTGAATCACTGCCGCACACTTCTCGACGCCTTCGTCGACACATGTAGACACTTGGACAACTGCACAGAGGAAGTCCCTGCATGTTTATCATGCATACCTTGAATTTGGGACATTTCACTTTTTCACAAGCATTATCTGAGGGAAAAAAAAAAAAAAATTATATATGTACACACACATCATTGGAGAGTGAAAATAAAATTTTTAAAAAGAAAAATGTTTCAAAGTTCTGGGAAGATTCTAAAGCTGAAATCAAAAGTATTCTATATTTATAAATGTAAAATTTAGAAATAGGTGTCACATTAAACAGGTGTATTACTTCAACAACTGTTTCAGTTAGTCTTTATATAGAGTGGACCTATCTCTTAGTCATCTTTCTCATTAATGAAGAACCTGCATGTATAGCCAGAATAGTTTCTAGTACAACTTGTAAATTTATTTTCTATGTTTAAATTTTCTCATCCCCACCATACATACATACAATACAGATTTTGCTGTAAAGTGTGGACATATCTGGGGGTTACATTTTATAAAATTTTAAGATTTATTTTTAACAAATAGAAATCTGTCATAATTAGTTTTTTTTTTTTTTTTAGTTATCTTCACCATTCGTCATATGGACATTGAATATATTTAAATCGAACTTTTTCAATAATTAAAGGAAAAATAGTTGCTACTAGACAATATATTTTAAATTACTAGAATGTTAAGAGCTACTGGAAAAAAAGCAAAAAGTATTTGCAAATGGCATTTTCTATTTATTGTAAATGGAACAGAAAATATTTATAATAAAGATTAAAAATTTACATGTACTAAAGATGATTTTAGCATCTATCATATGAGACAATTTTATATACAAACATTCTTATCTCAGCATTTATTTGATGACGTAATTTATATCACACGCTTTGAAAATTTGTATTAAGTAACTGATATATTTGGGTAGATCAATGTCTTAATGATGGAGGAGGAGGAAAAAAAATGCATTTTTCACAAAGAAAATCTTTCAAGAATCTCCTTCCTTGTTAAATCACTTAATTCATTTATGAATATTAATCACACAGTAAACATTTAGATTAAAATTAAACTAATAACTACATGCCAATTTATGGATCCAACCATAGAAATCAGTTCACTAATATGGAACCTAATGAGTTCAATTGTTTATTTCTAGAACCAATTTAAAACTATATTTAAAAGACCTTCAATCAATAGAAATTTTTTTTTAAGTGTCGTAAGTAGACAAGGTTGTAGTTTTGCATAAAAATATTTAAAAACAAATGCAGATTGCTTCTAAACAGTATACAAAAGTTTAATGTTATAAAGTTAAAATATCTAGATTACATTATATTAACACGAATAATTAGAAAATGAATATTCTAAATTTGCAATGTGAAATAAAATACAAAATAATAAGCTGAATAATATGAGCAAATTTAGTGACGAGTTTAAAAACAGCATTTTTTTTTTTTTTACATTTGAAAGAAAAAGATTAAGTTTATAGAAATTGAATAGTTTTAAGCAAACATTTTAACTTTTGCCTATTCACATAAAATCAATTTGATTCGACTTGTCTAAAACAGCAATTATTTTCAAATCAGAGAAAATATATAATTTTTCCACACATACAATTTTACATAATGAAATGGACATATTTCAGCAATTTAAATTATACCTTCCTAACAAATTTAATTTTTTTTTTATTTACATGTTGCAGAGAAAAAGAGAAATTTATAATTACAATCCAATGCCATGGAAATATTTCAAGTAATTTTATATTATTATTATTATTATCAGGTTTTAAGTTTTATAAAATCAGTTTTTGTGAGAAATATTTAACTTATGAGAAGAGTAAAAATGGTAAAAATCTGCTTAAAAATTATTTGAGAAATTTAAATCATCCTAAGTTATCAAATTTAATTAATAGAATGGAAAAAAAGAATAACCAATTAAACTACCAATTAAGGGCAGTAAATAAAATCCATCACTAAAGTATCACTACAACTGCCATTTAACCACTAACAATTACTGTTTTTTTCTAGTGCAAAGGAAATTTGTGATCTTCATTGCTCTTTTATTGGTTCTTGCTCCTTAATGTTTTTCCTATTCTTTCACACTTTGTAAAACCTTGTGTATTAGTGGCTTTATTGCCTTGCTTGGGGGTGAAAATGACTTTTTCTAAATGTTAAGTTTTTGAAAATAAAATTATACTTCACTCCTTAATTAAAATCAAACAAATCACTAAAAATCTTTTGTTTGTTTATCCATCATGAATCATTTCATGTTCATTTTCTAAAATAACTGGAATAATGTGACTACTGCAGCTCTTTACACCCAAAGAGGAAGTTGGATGAAAACTTTGATTAAAAAAAAAAAAAAAATAAAACAGGCCACATTTACTTGAATTAAGTGCAACCTACATTAATAATATTAAGTTTAATAATCAATAATTAACCAAACAAGGCCAACTGCAGTTGGGATCATGAAGTCATTGTGAACTCCATGATCCTTTCACTAGCTGCATGTGCTTCACCAGGGCTATACAGGTCTTTTGAATTCAGAGTTTGTCCTTCTAGACTGATTGCCAACCAAGGATGAAGACCCCAGTCTGCTCTACTATTTAACCTATAGCTGGAAAGAGAATCATACATTACCCAAGGGTATTTGCATACAAGTGAATGTAACAAACATGAATGGAACTTGAATCTCCAATTTCTAAATCCAAGCAGTTATAAGCTTTAAAATAAATAAAAAAAATAATATACTACCATTTTGCTTCCATGGCAAAAGTGATTGACAATTGAATTAAAAAGCCAGTAACTTCATAATACTGAATTTTGTATTCCCATCAATAAAAATCCACTTATTGATATGAAATAAATCCTTCAGAAACAGTTGAGATTCATTTGGCAATAAATTATATATTTTAAGTTGAAATTATACTATGTCTGTTATCAAAAAGTACAATTGATGACATATAGCAAAAAATATAAGTTAAAAAAAAAAAATTCTCCACCTTTAAATTATTTTTAATAGGTAGTAATCATATTAATGAACATTTTGATAAGTGTTGATTATATAAATTTCAGCTAGTTTAATAATAACAGCAATGTTAAAAAAAAAAAGTCTTAATTCCAACAAATACATGATAGGAATTGTGATATAGTCAAACTTTTGATTTGGATTTTTTCCCCCATTTTGTTGACTTTTCATTCATAATTTTATAACTCATCAAAACAATTGTTTTAGTATTAAGTTGAAATGAGGAAAGTTTGGATTTTATTTTGCAATTTTTATATGTTGCAATAACATGGGTAAAGAACATTCATCTATTTCTTTAAAATAAAAACAAATTTATCAAAAGTATTGAGTAATCATGTAAATTTAGACATACAAATCCAGTGTGATCCTCTTTAATGATCACTTTAATTGAAATTTTCCAGGATTAAAAATATTTTGCCAATATCATTTGCTGCTTTTATTCAAAGTACAATAAATGGAAGAACATAAAGGAAGCAGCATGAAAGAGAGAGAAAAAAAAGAAAAGAAATATACACTGTTAGCTTTTATTATGCAAGTCAGTATTTTCACAAAATTGATATAACTATATCAAATATAATTGATGTTTGTAACATTTTGGGATATATTTATATGAAACTTTCACAATGTTAATTTCAGATTATAATATCTGCCTTCACAATATATTCATAAAATTTGGTGGCATGAGATTTTTCAACCTGATGGTTTTTCATCATATTGTAAATATATAATTATTGATTGTTTTTTTTTTCAGATATATAGAACTTCAAGATATAAAATATTTTAAAGTTATTGAGTAATGGGAAACAACACTGGAAATTCTGAAAAAATTGAACAGAGATAACCTAAGAATCAAAAAAGTAATTAAAAATATCACCAGTTAAGAAAAAATGTTAGCTTTAAAAATGTCACAAAGAGATTTGAAGAAAATTCAAATAAATATTTGAAGTTTGAGTGGCAAACAAACAAAATAAAAAAAAAAAATGTAGAAAATAAAGAATTGAAGCAACCAAATAACCTTAAGTAAACATAACAAAAAGTAAAAAAGGTTGGGCAAAAAAAACTAAAGAGTAGATGGAGACCAATTACTCCATAGTAAATTTTAGTGATAAATGCAGAGCTACTTTGGATGAACCTGATGACTGGATTAAAGATTGAGACTTTTCTGGAAATAATCAACCAACCTGGAACGTAAGTGGAACAATATTTTGGGCTCATATTGTCAGTGGTAAAATTATAGATTCTTCATAACTGATGGTCTCTAGATAAATGTACAAAATTACTGTAAGATTTCGGATGATTTTTTTTTTTATTCTCCTTACTGGTGCAGGTCACAATGAAGAAATTTTAGGCTAACAAGTATTCATGAAAATCAAGATTCTACAAAGTTGAGTATTGACCACCTTACCAATAATAATAATAATAATCCTTGTTGTGATAGGGCATTGAGTAGGATAAAAGAGGGTACCGAAATTCATGAGAGTAAATTTCCTGGACAACAGCATCACAAAGCTACAATACATTACTTTGTGTAGAACTGCACATATCATCTGTAAAAAAAAAAAAAAAAAAAAAACCTGTCTCCATAAATGAAACATCCCAAATGTACATAAATGTCTTACAGTGTTTTTTTTTTTTAATCCATAGACGCGGAGGAGAATTGGTAATTAGGCTCTTAAAAATGATATCCTGGCAAAATGATAGTTGTTGTTGTTACTATTGTTATTATTAATAATAATAATAGTAGTAATAATAGTAATAATAATCTCTCTCTCCAGATTAATCAACAAATCCAAAAGAAAATCTGTTTATTATTTAAAGAAGAATAAAAAAAAAAAAAAAAAAAAAAGAAAAAGAAAAAGAAAAAGAAAAAGAGAGAGAGAGAGAGATGTGAAAATAGAAAGCAATATTCAAAAATATCTCTGGGAAATAAAATCTGCCACAAGTTGAAACAATAGAAAATCAATTAAAGAGTAAAGAGGCCTAACATGTAAAATTTAAAAAATATGTTTCTATGGTCTGTTCTTTTTTTGATATACAAAAAAGATGTTGCACTTAGTTTGTCTGCATAAAACCTACCCCCACCTCACGCAAAAAAATAAATTATTAACAAAATTTTTATTAAGGAAATAAAACCGAAGGAACACACATTATTGCTCATAGACTAAAGAAAAAAATATCCTGAAAAGAAAATTTTACCAACATCATTTTGAAAACATTGACTTGCATAATAACATCTGATCTGACATAGTTACTAAATTCAAATAATACTTTATTAATTAGCTCTCCAATCCCCAAATTTCATGCAAAGCAGAAAGTTGTTTATTTAAACCACTAAATCCCCAAATATTAAATAAAATAAGAAAAAAGAAAATTTGAATAAACAAATTTCATTTGCAAAAGCAGATTTTAGACTCGGTTAATAATTTCTGATATCCAAAATAAAAAAAAAAAGAAGCAAAGTAAATTACTTATTTCTTTTTGTATTTTCAAGAAGCAAAATAACGGTATGTAATTCTATAATAATACTTGAAAGAAGTCTTGATTTGTTATACAAGAAATATTGAGCTAATAATTGTGTTTTTACTTTTTATTTTGTGGATTTACAATACATGAAATCTTACTTTTTTAATGACTTAATTTCATTTGTTTCTTCAGGAGCTAGCTGTAAAGATAGGATTTAAAAATCAAATTATTTTAATTTTTTAACCACACAAAATTTTCAATTTGGACTCAGTTCTCTCTACCAATTAATGCAATAATTTAAGAATTTTACAATTTAGTTGAATTCATTTGTAAAAAAGAAATTTAAAAATTAGAAAATTAAGATACAAATTGTCATATAAATTTAAAATTTTTTCTTGATAATCACGTTTATGACAATTAGTTCCTTTGAATTGATTACTAAAATATTCTTGTTTGTAGTTTTAGAAAGGCATATAAGTCATTTATGTTTTTTAAAAGGTTTTTTTATTCGATGTTTTGTCGATGTGGCATTTAAGTGATAACCAGAAGAATTAAGGATTATTATACAATTTCTAATGTTTATTAATTTCAAGGTGCTTAAATACAAGTTAAACAAGTTTAATGAAACTACAATTTGGTAACGACATCTTATCGAGAAATACTGGAAGAAGCCATTTGCACCGATTGAACTGTTTTGTTTTGTTTGTTGATTATGTTTTTAATGCTTTAATTACCGACGATCAGTTACAGTATCAGATTTCATCGTATAATCAGAGTCCTTGATCTTCAAGGATTAACCATTTCAAGAGTTGTAAAAAAGTGAAAAAGACAATTACGGCCCGTGTATCAAATGTCTAAAAAAATAAATAAAAATAAAAAATGAATAGTTGCCCAGGAGTCTGCTGCTATAACAGTGTTAAGGAAGCCCTTGAAAAAATAACGAAGCAAACAATAAGAAAAAATATCACTAAAAATTAAATAAAAACGAAAATAAAATCAATAAACATAAATAAAGCTAAAGTTAAAGCAGCTCACTATTTTTAAAGAAATTGTTGATAATGAAATAAGGCATTATTAAAGGTTCTACGAATATAAATCTACGAATTCTTAGTGGGTTACAGGGCGCTTTGTCATGGCGTAATGGTTAACAAGCTAGTTTCACACATCATTACTACAGAGTTCGAGCCTAACCGAGTGACTCATGTTTGTGGTCCTGTGCTTAAGTTTGGAAGAATTCACGGATCATTTCATTATTTTTTTCTCAGAAACATTATGCTAAGCTTTGTTTTATTTTTATTTTTTTAATTATTTTTAAACTCTTTTTTTTTTATATTTGATTTACTTACACTACAACACAGCTTTTAGAATTTTTGGCTACAACGATTTAGAATTAAATGTTTGTTTTACAATTTTTCAGTAATAAAAACAGACACAATCGATGTAAATCTGAAAAAGAAAGCTAATAAAACAGAAAGAAAATTATTAATCTTACAAAAAAAAAAAAAAAAAAAAAAAGGTTTTTTTACATTTCCTTATTTCAAGCAGCATTTAATTAGATTTTAATCTAATCAACAAATAATCAAAATAATAATCAGTCTATCATTTGGGGTTCGTGTTGATTTTGACATATAAAAAAAGTAATATAAAAATATTGATCAAAAAAGTCAAATGATGACGAAGTTAAAGCGAGTATTAAGTTAATTTGTTCAATTTCATCTTCCTTTGAATCCGAACAAAAATCAATATTGAGTCAGTGACACTAAGTTTCTTTGCATAATTTTGTTCTTTAAATTATTTGTTATTTAGTTGTCAATTATAAAATTTCGCTATTTGCATTATTTTCCTTTTGCGCACTCGATTTTTCAAAGTTTGCAATTTAAAGGCAACCTACGTAAGGGTACGAAGATATGTTGCATTTTAATTTAATCAAAGTCAAAAGGAACAAATAATTAAGCCCCAATCCCAAATGGAGACAGCTATCACTTAAATTCAATTAAAAGTGAAAACAAAGACACCGAGTTGTTAAACAAAAGATTGGAGAAGAAAATAAAATAAACCCACTTTGTAAATAATAAACACCAGTTGAATTAAAATTATAACGAATTCAAATTTCATAGAATATTAAAACAAGTGCTATTTACAATGGATGGATTATTATTTATTTAATGATAATCTCTGCGAACTGCGTTATTTAAATCAGCTCTGATAATCTATCCTTACTGTAAACGTAAACAATTGTAAAAATGCTTGAAAACTTGTCACGTACGATGAAAAATATTCAAAAAATATAATTTTTTTCGATTAAAAGTAAAAAAAAAAAAAAAAAAATCGATAATTAAATGTTAACTTTACGAAATTCAAAACAACTTAAGAATAAGAAGAAGACTGAAGAGTAATTCACGATTTTATAAGTTTGTTTGCCCCAGCTGAATTTATGCAAATCAGAAATCTGAATTTAAATTTGAACACTGTTAGCAAATTTAGAACCTCTCATTTACTAGAAGATTTTTTAACTTAAGAATATTTTTCTTGTGAAATATTCGACAGAACAAAAAAAAAAAAAGTGAATTACTTACTTTTGTTGGGAAGAGGAGTTAATCTGACATGTGGCTGGTAGAGGTCCGAAGAACACATTTGGCAACAGCCACAATGGTCCTTGACTACCTCACCCGTGCAAAATTGCAGCTGTGGACAGTTCTTGCATTTCAGTTCACACACTCTGGACAGAGCATGTCCAGACGACTGAACAGGAATAAAAAACAGTAACAATAATTGCAACTGAAATATCAAAGAAACTAAGGACATTTTCCTAAAGGAAGTTTGTCGTACTGGTCCGTTCCTGCACTCAAGTTGGCTTAAAAAAACGTGCAGCGGTTCGGAACACCGGCTTTCGCCATCCATATCTCATTGCCAGCTCATAGCATGCGAAAGAAGAGCGGATATCCTGGTTTCTTCCGCAATAATACTTCCGTCGTCCCGAGCAACGAAGATAATGAAGCAATTCCAAGTAGCCTTCTCAAAGTTTGGTAAGGAATGTCCTTCTCGGTTTTTGTACAATTAAAACTGATTAAAAAATAAAAATAATAATTATTAATATAATAATATGACAATAATTTTTAAAAAAGCAATACATTAAATGTTTATTCACAAGAAAAAAAATAAAACATGTCATATCAAGACTGGTGCTAGAAATAGAGGGGTACAATTTGAGAACCAAGTTGTGTGTGAGAGTGTGAGAGAGAGAGAGAGAGGCTGACAAAATAGAGATTATGCAAGGATACGTCGACACAAATTATTGAAATTAATTTTTAATCATATTTCGAATTTATTTTTTTTCCAATTTCAATCAAAATGAATTCTACTGGACGTTGCAGAAGAAATAATTATGTTTTACTTTTAGTTTTAGCAAATAAATTCAAAATAAAAATAAAATTTTTAGCATAATGGTTACCTCGCAACAGGGTAATAACATTCATTAAGGTTATGAACTTATTTTCTCATTAGGGATAAGAAGAGTTCAAAATAAATCTCGCCAAATAGGTTTTCTTCTCAGATCCATCACTGTTAGGGTTTTTTTTTTACTGTAGTGTTTACTGAGCGATCGCGTGAGAACGATTACATAGATTTTTTAAAAGAAAAATGAGGGTTGTACTCTAAAGTTAAATAAACTTATATCCAATTGTAGATTTCATCTCGTAATGCTCTTTGTTCTTTCTTTAGGAAAATGTTTTTACAATCAAGTAAGTTAAGTAAGTAGTTATCTATTTATCACCTCTCTCTCTCTCTCTCTCTTCTCTCTCTCTCAAAAGAAAAAACCCGATGGAAATAGTTTTTTTTTTTTAGTTTACCGCTTAAGTTGGTCCCCATTCTTTTGATTTTTCTCATCCTCAGTGGTCGTTTTTCCTGTACTAGACTAAAAAAAATATTATTAAGCAAATCATACATACTTACTAACAGAGAGTAGAATATTCGCACATAGGCAGTGATAGTGTGGTGGAATTCAAGCCATACGTTTCGAATGAACAACTGAACATCAATCTCTAGCAGCATCTGTCAAGTAATTGTGTCTGTGTGTGGATCAGCTGGTAAGTACGGAATGACAGCGGAAATCATGAGGGTCGAAAACTACACTGACCGAGCACTTATGTCAGTTACGTTCATTGATTAAGATTGTGGCTTTCTGATTGGCTGCAACGACATAGGAGGCGGTACATTTAATTGCTTTCCAATACAGAACACTTACTTAACTGATAGCTCATTCATTAAATGATAAATCAATATATGAGTATCGTTACTCTAACAACTCTATACAGTTTTTGCAAGATGACTCTGTATATTTTATATTTTTTATGGTATAGATTAGGTCTTTGTGCAATGTTACTGAATGCGTCACAAAGTAGCACGAAAGCCAAGTAGCAGCAGCAGCGGTTGTTGTTGTTGTATAGGAGTTGCCTTTCTTTTTAGTGCGCCTTCGAAATTATTTTTATTTATTTTGTATTTTTAGCATCAGCTGTGTTAACTTTGACGCAATTCCTGCTACTGCTAACAAATTACTCAAGTAAAACACCTCGATATTTTTCTAGAATTAAAACTATTATCAGAATTGTTTAAAAAATGTTTGTTAGCAGATTAATGTTATTGTTAATTAAACAAATTGAATGTATTGCGCAAACTGCAAACAAAACACGGTTTTGTTTGCGCAATTACATTCAATTTTTGGAAACAGGGAAGCCAGTACCGTAAAATAAAATCCTATATTACCTAAGCCTAACGTAGCAATGAAAAAAATATAGATAAATAAATATTTGATGACATGAAGACGAGCTTCCTCTTCCTAAGAAATAGGTACTTTAAAAAATATTCCCGGGGTCTTATATGCGAAGTTTTTTTTCTCCTGAAGCTGCTTGTACATATTTCAATAAATGTCTACTATTACATACACTGGAATATTATTTTACTTGCTGAAATGGGGTGGGCTTTTATGTGCCACAAAACACGATAATATTGTGCTTAAAATAAATAAATGGTCGTTAACGTTAATAATACAGTATTATTAACGTTAACGACCATTTATTATTATTTAAACGGACAAATTTAATTTGTCCGTTTATTCTTTCCAATGAAAATTTTAAACTAAATAATTTAAAAAATTTCCTATCCATCATTTGTTGATATTATTATTTTTTTAAGTCAGTCCTCTTTCCTGTAACACATTTTTTCTTTTCTGAGAGGAAATATTGTGTTTCGTCAACTCAACTGAAATACTAACTTGTTTTGTTAATGTTTGCAAAATTAAAAAAAAAAGTTTCCTGTCGACTTGAATACTAAAAGAATTTAAGCAATTTTACCACGAAAAATAATCTAAGAAATAGAAATAAAGCGTAAAGTGCATAAAATACGCGTAAATTAACTGTAGTGAAAAGAATGACAAAAAAATTTTAATTCCATGAAGCGCATATTAAAACGATTCTAGACTAAAATAAGATTACTAACTAGTAAAAATGGTTGCTAAACGATTTGGTTGTATCCATCATCCAAATTAGTTAACATTAACAACTTTGTAATGTTTGTGTTCACTGGGGTCATTTGGAGAACGAAAATGTCATGATGAATTGAAAAATCTTCATTTCAGAAAAACTTTTATTTTATACTATTTTTCTCGTAAGAGCGTTGGGAAATGATTTTTTTAATTATGTATTTTAGGTACCACCACCAAAATAGATTCTTTTATTTTTTTTATTTTTATTTTTATTTTTTTTTTTTTAAATGAAAGCAAAAAATCGCGACCACCTGCTTTAAAAAATACCAAAAATCAGGGAATTATCCGATCATTTAAATGAGATTTTGTAGCCCTTATGAATGGGTATACTGAATAGGTTATTTCATGAGAAACTTTGTAGAAATATTTTTTCAGTTTAGTTACCCCCAACCCTCGGCCACCATCAATTTCCATACATCGGGAATACTTTTAAAATTGGGGGTGATGACAATTTTTTTTGTTAAAGTTTCTGAAGAAAAAAAGTAAAAATGTTTTTACAATATCAGAAAATCTTGAAAATTTGTCTTGAAACATTACAAAAATAAGTCAATAAAACTTAAAAAACAATTTTTGTTGAGAGTTGGTGCTGGCATAATTTAATTAAAAAACGTTATTTTCTTTCACATTTATGCGGGAAAAAAAATCTAAAATGAATATTTATTTTTGAAAAATTTACTTGCGATTTTGAAATTTTTCCGGTTGTTGATAACAAAATCGATCTTAATAAAGATGTAAAAGTTAATGCCATATTCGCATCCGAATTATATTTTAAAATGTTTTTTTTTTTTTTTTTGTATGGAAGATCAAAAAATCTGAATCGCCTCCTCCTCGGGAGACTAATATCTTAATATTGAGTTTTATCAGTCCCTCACTTTCTTTTTTTTTTTTTTTAGCATTTTTTTTAGTTTAATAAATTTTAAAATCAGAATAATTGAGTCCAATTAAATATTTTATGGCATCAAACTGGTAAGACAATAAAAGTAATGAATTAAACTCAAAAGTATTAATTTATTTTTTATACTTGTAATGTCATAATTGATTGTTGCACTGCAGATATTCTGTAATTAAAAAAAAAATTCGCACACTTTTTTAAAGAGTTAAGGATGACAATAGGAAACTACTGTTGTTGACCTATGACCTTGATGAGAGGTCACAGCCTACCGTGCGTAAATAAACGCTATTTTCATGATATTTTAAGTAAAAATGAAAGCTTTACTTTTACAAAATCCAGTTAATTAATCCTTAACTTTACTAATTTACTTTGAAACACATCTCTAGTACAAATATTGGATTTTAAAGAGATTTTTAAATTTTTTGTTTACATTTTCGTCTATAATGGCGTTTCGATGAGTAACTAATAAATGTGAGAATGTTTTTAAAATGTCCAAAAAATTTATTTACATACAGGATTTTTTTTTCATAGGGATTGAATAAATAAAATTAAAAATTTAACTTCAAAGAAGTTACATTATTTAAAAATAAAACTCTTTTTGTCGTTTTTCCAACATGTCCGTGGCGGCACCTCAAATATCTAAAAGAAAGTGCCACACTTTTTCTTAGTAAAAAATTATCTTCATTAATAAACATTTCGGTGTGAAAGTACACGAAATATGAATTTTATTTCCAATGTAATTAAGAAAAAATTGCATTTCCTGCTATAAATTTGGGCATTTAAATTACACAGGCTTACATTTTTTTTTATATACATGAGATGTTTTGGCTAATTTTAAACAATTTTGAGGTGTTGAATCCCAAAATAATATTGATTTTTCACAATTAGCTTTAGTTTTCCTGCTCCAGAATACCATATCCTACTTAAAATTGGTTATGATTGAGTTAAGTCACTCTAAATGTGAAAATCTTCTTATAGATAAAGAAGAGACTTGAAGCAGTCATGGACTGAACATGTGAGTAACGAGAAAGTTTTAAGGAAATTGGAGACAAAAAAAAGAATACTTATACATAGAATCAAAAAGAGATAATTGTAATTTCTAGGGTACATAATGAGGAAAGAGGGCTTGAAGAATTTGACACTCACAGGTCATATTGAAGGCAAGAGAGATAGAGGAATGCAGCAAATAAACCATCTAATGAGTTTGTGTAATCAGTTGGCAGAATAGGGATTAGGAGAGATAGCAAAAGAAAAGGGCTAGAAAAGACAAGAAGTTATAGAGTCATGATTGCAGAATAGTGAACGTCCCCCCAATATAACTTTATAAATCATGAGTAAATGTTTGACATTTAAATCTATTCTTCAACTAAATTTATATATTCAAGAAAACTAAGAAATATAGTGGATAGCGGTTCGGATTGAGGAATCGGAGAGCCGAGTTCGAATTCCAGTCGAATCCATTACATTCACTTACGGAAAAAGATGAATCTACTTCTTCTCTTACAGCCATGGGTAAATATGGCAGGACTGGGTTCTATAGCCTAGGAGAAGGACAACTTCAAAACCTGCGGAGGGTCGTTTGGGGACCTTGTTACCATATCTCTGTATTCAGCACTTCAAAGAGTGTGGTTGGTTGTGCACAAAACCTTCATCACTATAATCAAATCATATGTTCTGGCTGTCAGTTCCTAGGAACTGAGGTGCCTGACCCTCATACGTTGTAAAAGGGTCCCCGGTAGGTGCCGGTCAACAGCCACATCGATCAATATATATGTATAAAGGCTAAAAGACAATAGGAAAACTGTGTAGTTTTAGCCGAGGCGTTTCGTCCAAGGTGGACGGATAAAACTACACACAGTACTGCTTTTTTTCCTTTATACATAGTTATTTATACAGATTAATTCTAAGAATTTTTCAGACACACACACATAATATATATATATATATATATATATATATATATATATATATTGTTACGAGGATGCATTTTTATAATAAGGGATTCCTTTGAGTTCTACTTGTTATTACAAAAAAGTTTTCATTCATGAAGTAGTTGTAAAATAGAGAAATTAGAAATAGAATGTTTGGAAGATTCTAGATATTCTAGTATATTCGAGAAAAATCTAGATGATTCGAGAAACATCTAGAAATATGCAAATTAGGTGTTAGCCCCTATAAAAATGGGATTTTGGAAAAGGGTTCTGCTGTTATCAACTCCGGCTTTTGATTCAAGGACTATTATATCCAGCCGAAAGAATCTCTATAAAAAGTTGCCGACCAACCAAAACCCAAAAGAGAATTTCATGGAACAAAGTTGGTAAATAGAATTTTGACTAATTTTCATTGACCAAACTAAAATTAATATTTATTTACACACCTTTGTGGATTTCCAAATATAGCACTTTAACTTCACTAGCCCTAAAGTGATAAAGATATTTGATTCCCTTTCCTTCTTCCTCGTAACACTCCGCCAGTAACTCTTTGTTTTTTCTGTTTTGTAGTACAATTGTTTATCCTGTATATATTTTATGTTCTGTTTTAGTAAATTAAATATTTGTTTGTGATTTAGCTCTGTGTTGTGGTAAATCATTTTTTTTTCCTTT